ATTATGCCTTTTTTTTAAAGAGCAGCTTAAGTTTCACAGCAAAATTGAGGCAAAATTGAGGTAAAGGTACAGAGATTTCCCATATACACCCTGCCCCTACACATGCACCACCCCCACCATTATCAGCATTCCCTGGAGTGGTACATTTGTTGCAACTGCTGAGCTTACACCTGACACATCCTAATCACCTGAAGTTTAGAACTCGCATGATGGCTCACTCTCGGTATTGTACATTCTGTGGGTCGGACAAATGTATAATGACACTTATTTATTCTTACAGTATCATAGAGATGAATTTCACTGCTCTAAAAGTTCTGTGCTTCATCTATTTACCCTTCCCCTTTCCAATTCCTGGCAACCACAGATCTTTTGACTGTCTCTGTAGTTTTGCCTTTTCCAGAATGTCGTATAGTTGGAATTGTATAGTATGTAGCCTTTTCAGATTGACTGCTTTTACTTTTAAAACTTTCTATTATGTAAAAAGTTTTTCCAAGAAAACAGATTGGAAGTTCCTCAGAAAATTAAAGTATGTATGTTGCAGAAATTTAACTGCTAGCTCTATACTCAAAAGAATTGAAAGCAGGGTCTTGAAGAAATATTTGTCTATCCCTGTTCTTATCAGCCTTGTTCACAACTGCCAAGAGGTGGAAGCCACCCAAGATCCACTGATGGATGAGTGGGTAAATGAATGATGGTGTATATATACAATGGAATATTATTCAGCCTTAAAGAGGAAGAAAATGCTGACACTTGCCACAGCCTGGATGAGCCTGGAGAACACTATGCTAAGTGAAATTAGCTAGTCTAAAGAAGACAGGTACTGTATGATTCCACTTATATGAGGGACTTAGAGTAGTCAAACTCATAGAGACAAAGTAGAATGGTGGTTGCCAGGGGCTGGGGTGAGAGGAGAATGAGGAGTTGTTTAATGGAGACAGGAAACAATATTACAAATATTTCAGTTTTGCAAAATGAAAAGAGTTCTGCTGCTGGATAGTGGTGATGGTTGTACAACAATGTGACTTAATGTCACTGAACTGTATACTTAGAAAAGGTTAAGATGGTAAATTTTGTATTATGTGCATTTCCACAATTAAAAAAAAATCCCAAGAGCTCTTTTCTGTTCTCTGGTTGTTTTACATAATGTCTTGAGCTTATTTCATAAATTCAAAATCTTCTGTAGGACTCAGAGTGTCTTTATTCCTAGTTTGTTGCTTTTGGTATTGTCTTTAATGTTGAGGGCTTTCCTCAAACATCAGGCAATACTCAGCCTTTTCTTCATATGTGAGTGAGGTAATGAAGAGCTGAGTGGAAATCCTCTGTGCTGGGAAGGGCTTTTTGATGGGTAGGTTTTCCCTGTAGAGTCAGGGAACAGTGAGGTAGCCTTGTCAATTGGGGACCACAAAGTGTCCATATCTGGAGGTCTTTTATTCTGTGACTCTTTCTTCCAAATCTCAAGAGGAAAGTTTAATTGCCTTCCAGGGTTCTGAGGTTGAGAAGCATACAAAGATTCCATAATTTTGTAAATAGATATTTACTTGGTTCCCATATTTTCAACCTCATTCCTCCATTTCCCTCCTGTTTGCTTAGTTCCTTGTATTGAGAGCCTCTTTAGTTCAATTTCTCTAGGGAACAGATTTCCTGTCTCAGGTCTAGGAGATGGAGATGGGAAAAATTGAGATTCAGCTGTCCTGTGTACACTATTAAACTGTCCTCTTTCAGCCTGGAGACGTACTCTAACATCCTGTGCACTGGTGTCTCCGTTTCCTGGGCTTTTCCATGGTTCTGGGGGTGGAGACTGGCTCACTCCTGTTTTCCCATCTGGGGCTTCTCTAGCTCTACTAGTCACGTACTGCCTCTCCATCTACTTTGTAATCTATCTCAGCTCTTGTGCCATTCTTTTCCTCCTCGTGGGTTTACAATTTAAAATTTCCCTCTACTGTCATTCTCATAGAGTTCTGGGAGGAAGAGGAGAGAGACATGCAAGGTCAATCTGTTGAACTAGGAGTCACAAGTGTTGACTTAAATAACCCACCCACATTAGAGAAATGTCACTCTTGCTTCTGATTCATCAGCTTGGGTTCATCACACCCCATTTCACAGTAACTGGCCACCTTTATTCAAATATTGGGCCAAACTTACAAAACAAGCCATTCATTCAAGTGTCCAACAAATCACATGGCATTTGCCATGACAGAGCCTGCCTCGTTAGTTGTCTACCCTAAAGAAATTTTGTCTTGTTTAGATTAGGTTTCCTTCTCTTTATCCTCAGACCAAAACTTCTGTATGTAGTGTTTTCTAGGATATGATTAGCTACTTATACATATGTTTTTTGCTCAAGATGTTAATATGTCAACATCAAAGTGTGTATATGTATGTTGGAGGCAGCCTTTTGTGGCAGAAGCCATTAGTTTCCTACCCAACATCTGTCCTCTACATCTTTACCAACAGAACTTCAGTTTTGTTTAGGACAGTAATGTGCCTGTATTTAAAATTAAATCTCCATCCCCCAGTCGTCTTTACAGAAGACAGACTTCTGACCAATGAGATAAAAGATGGGTGGGGCTTCTGGGAAAGCTGTTTTAAACAGAGCTCACTCAGCTGGCATCAAGCTCTTGACCTTTGCCCTTCCCCTGATTCTTGCCTAGACCACAGACAGGGCACTGGGGCTGGAACTGCCATTTCACAGCCACTAGTGACCAACATGAGGATCAAAGCCACACAAGAAAGGTGGCTGATGGCAGGACAGAAGGAAGCCATATCTCTGATGGCATTATGGGGGCCACCATGTTAGAGCTGGCTGGCTTACTTTGAATTTCTTGTTTTGTGAAAAAATCAAAACCTTTAATATATTTAAACCATTATTTGGTCACATTTTCAGTTACTTGCAACTGAATGCAGCCCACATTGACAGATTTCCTCTGTGTCTTTTCTCATGAGCCTGTGCTCAGTTATATGTTCAGAGGAGGCTGCAGTCTCTGATGACATGGCAGATGCTGCTGGTGCCCTGAATGTCGCCTCTCCCATGCTCACCATTTCTATGCATTCTAGCCCAATTTCCATCAGCCACCACCTGCGACTCTGCCCAGGGCTACCTCCAGTCCCTAGGGACTGCTCTGTTTACACATGGGTCAAGCTGGATGTTCCAGGAGTTAATGTTCTCTTCCTCCTTACATCTGAGAGCATCTTTCACTGGAAGCCTGATAAGGTTGGCATATCAATACCCCAGCTCCCTTGCCTGGGATTCTGCCGGCAAGATTGCACTCCACTAGCCCATAGTAGTCACTGGCTTAATAGCACACAGTTAAATGGCTTCCTTCCTTTCTTGTCTTATGTCCCCACTCTCCTACCAGAGTTTTCTGGGATCAACTCCTAAATAAGCTACCTGCACTAGAATCTCAGTCTCAGATCTGCTCCTGGGGGAACCCAAACCAAAATAATGGGATTTTACCCAGGGTTGCTTTGAGGTCATGAAAGTTATCAAGACCCATAAGTATTCGTGTGCCTTTTCCCTGTGCCCAGCCAGTCTTTGCAGTGCAATCGCAGACAGTGGTTCCTGCTAACCTGGCACTGTGGGGCACCTGGCTCTCAATCTTTTATGGCAATTTTTTTCAGCAATTTTTTTCCTCCTCCATGACTTTCTGTGATCCAGATATCTTGTGTGGCAGGTTGGGAAAGAGGCATCAGTGTAAGTCCACGTTATTGTGGACAGCGGAAAGGACCAGCCATAAAACACAAAAGTAAGGCGAGGACACCAAGCCCAGCTCTGTAGTTTATAGCTGAACAAAGATGCCCACGGTCTCTGATGCGCTACGTCTGGTTTACCCGAGGGAGCTGACTTCTTCCTTCTCTCATTCTCCTTCCTACTGAGGCTCATCCCAGGAGACAGTGAGTGTTCCAAGTAGAATGTGCAATAACGTGTGTTTGTAGTATTTTTTCTGAATAATATTTGAGGAACATGGCTAGATCCCATGTCCCTCATTTTCAAAGAAAAAGCTCTGATTGAAAGTATTTTGTCTCATTCATAGACATGGGTTCAGAAATTAGTGAGTCCCAGAGCCTTGGCATCAGGTGCAATCAAACCCAAAACCTGGTCTAGAATATTCCACACTCTATGAAGACACACTTGTCCCCTTGGACCCGGGGTCAGTGAATGACCTCCCTTGAGCCAAATTGGGCCTATTTTTGTCAATAAAATCTTTTTGGATACAGCCATACGCATTTATTTACGTAATGGTCATGGCTGCAGTAATTCAGGGATTTAAGTGACTGGTTGTGACGGAGACCGTGTGGCCTGGGAAGCTTAAATTTATTTACTGCCTGGACCTTTACAGAAAAAACATGCCTACCCCTGCTTCAGGCAACCTCAGAGTATCCCACCCAAGTCTGCCCCTTCAAGAAATACCCTCCCCACTCCCCATCCCACCACAAGTGCCAGTCCGTCCCACTTTAGTTCCTGGGATGGCGCTTCTGAACCTTTAATATGCATATGCATCCATTGGCAATTGGTTATTGGACATACAGGTTCAGACTCAGTATCTCTGGGAAGGGGCCCATGACTGTATTTCTAACAAGCTCCCAGTCATCCTGCTGCTGCTGGTCTGGGGACCACCCTTGGAAGAGCAAGATTCTATAAGACTGGATTTTTCTTACCAGGACAAGCAACTTCTTAGCCCTGTTTCTCAGTTTGGCATTGTCAGGCAATACTACCCACTCCCTGACCCTCTGCCTTCCCTTATGCACATACACACACACACCTTAAAACAGGAATGTGCCATCACTGCCCCTCCCCTTCTCCGTGAGTTCTGGTCTTCAGTCTGAGCCACGATTTTAAGAGTTAAAGAGCTGTGAAGCCGACAGCAGGAGAGACGCCAGGACTTTAATTAGTCTCTCTTTTTATATTTAGTTTCCTATTAGATAATGCTCGACACCTGTTCACTAGACAGATCTGTTTTTAATCTCTTCGCTTTCACTTTCTTGGATATGCGGCTGCACAGACATGTTGCACCGCATGAGTAATGCAACGAAAGCCAAACAAAATAGCCGTTTCTTTGGAATCAGAAGCACGACAAGGGACTAAAAACAACCGAGGCCAGGTTTGGGCCAACCACGAGGTGCTGGTGGAGGAAACAGCTCTGCGGCTGGCGTTCGCCCCCTAGAATTCCACCGCGGTTTGTTTTCTTTCCCTTGACTCAAAGCTCCAGGGAGTCTGCAACGTGTTTCCCACCCTCAGGATGGAATGGGAGGAGATTTCAGGGAAAGTCTCCTAGGCTGGGCTGGAATCAGAGAGCAGGCAGACGGTTTTTCCAGAAATGATCTAAATATTTCTAACTTTGATTTGATTATTTCATTTGTGTGAAGTCACCCCAAATATGCAGTTTCAGCCTTAGGGTTCCTGAGACCTTTTCCCAGATGCCGCAAGCGGACCAGAAATATGAAATCTATTTAAAACCTTACTCCTTGGGTCCCTAGGGTTTGTTATCTGTTTGGCTGTGGCTGGAACTGACTGACAGATGTGGAGATTCAAATCATGCAATACCTATAGATGGGCAGCCGATGTCTAAATGTCAACCACACGGAGGTGGGGAGGAAACAGGTAACAGAAACCTCAGAGTTACAGCCATGCGGATAGATTTGATAGCGTGACATAAGGAACCACCACAGGGCAACATCTTTTTTGAATTAATGAGGACAGATATTGTGAAGAGAGGGCTTGGCTTGGAAACTGTCTTCTTTCTGAAAGCTATCCTGAGCCCAAACTTCCCCAAAGTGTCACATGGCGAAGAGACGCTAATCCCGGGTATTAATGGGAAACTATAGCAGGTCTTTTTTTTTTTTTTAAGATTGTCAAGTTAGCATACATCCTTTAATTAGGACTTTCCTGTCCTAAATCTCCTGAAACATTTTGCGGCTTGTTTTTTCACTCACAAAATGAAAAGGAGGCATTGAGTGACTGAGACAGAGTTTGTAATATTCGATTTAAAAAGAGTTTTTCAGTGTTAGGTTTTAGGTAGAGGTGAGGCCACACCCAGATGCTCTCGGGTTGGTCACGCTGAGGGAGTCGAGCTGTGCGGTTGAAATGAGCCCACCGACCGAGCTGCAGATGGTGAGCCCGCACCTTGGGGTCCGAATGGGGATTTGTTACTAATAGGGAGACTAAACATGTCTGCTGTCGGCATGGCAACCACGAGAGGAGAAAGGGTTGGATGCTGAATTGGCTCCAGATAAGGGCATTGGCTGATGCCAAGTGTCCTCAGTGCCCGGTCCTTCAGTCCCAGCCATCTTCCCACAGCAGCCTCGTCCCAGGACTTCACCAGCACCCCTCCCACTGGCTCTCTCGAACCCTGGACCTTCTCTGCAGAGTCCCTGAGCCTTCCGCCTGGACTCTACACTGCGATTTGAGACCCCTGCTTCGAGCTTTTCTCTCCTCCTTCACCTGGGCTACCAGCTTTGGCTTCCTGAGACACACACCCTCACGGGACCTCTGCAGGGGCCAGGGCGTCAACAATCAGGGGATGAGAGAAGCAGGGGATTCATCTAGAACCAGGCTATCCCCAGCTACTCCTGACTGAGGCTATTTCTAGCTGCACAGTGAGAAGGGATTGGAACTTAACCTCAGAACCACTCGGCATGTTCTTCTCAGTTTGTGGGACTAGTGTTTGCCACACAGTCAACCTGTACTTGTTCATTCCAGAGGATGGGCTCAGTTATTCTCAATGAGTCTTTTTTTTTTTGACCCTCCTGCCCTGGTTTTAAGATATTATAAAAGTTGGTCTCTACCCTGGGAAGTGGGGATGGTCGGCTGTTTCTGTCTTTGTGCTCCCCCGCCCCTAAACACATTTGTGCCATGGACTTTAGGCCTGGATGGTATATTAGTCAGGGTTCTCCAGCGAAACAGAACCAATAGGACATATATATTTGTTTGTTTATTGTAAGGAATTGGCCCACGTGACTATGGAGGCTGAGAAGTCCTGAGGTCTGCAGTCAGCAAGCTGGAGACCCAGGGGAGAAGATGATGTGGTTCTGGTCTGAGTCTGGGTCAGAAGGCAGGAGAAGGGTGATGCCCAGCTTGAAGACGGTCAGGCAGAGTGAAGTCTCCCTTACTTGACCTTTTGTGCTGTTTAGGCCTTCAGTGGGTTGGATGTACCTGATGTGTCCACCCCACTGGGGAAGGTCATCTCCTGGACTCAGTCCACTGATTCAAATGCTGATCTCAGCCAGAAGCACCCTCACAGGCACACCCAGAATAATATTTGACCAAATATGTGGGCAGCCTGTGGTCCAGGCACGTTGTCATATCTAATGCAACATGACAGATAAACTAGAATTTTAAAGCATCCTCTTCTTTCTTCCATTCCTTCAGGCATCTCTGGAGCATGAAGTCCATATTTAAAATTAAATAAATACACCCAGAATATCCTCTGTGTGTGAAGAGGAACCTCCATGAGAGTTTTGACAGAAAAGTTCCAGAGAGGACCCGAATTGGTCTGATTCGGGTCAACCATTCATCCCTAAAAAACTCCCACCCCTGAAAAATGTCCACAGGGAGGGGACTGGCCAGCCTGGGTCACCAGCCAGTCCCTGTGATGAGGGAGGCAGCATTCCTACATCAGGGCACAGAATCTGCAGGGATGCACGGGCCTGTGAATTCAGGAGGTTGGTGAACTTGATCTGAGAACTTGCAGTTTTAAGTGTCTACTAACTGAAATTGTGCATTTCCTTTAACATCAAACATAAGCCAGTAGTAGTAATAGTGCCTGCAACTTTGAAACCAGTAGGCACACAGATCTATTTTTTATCACGTAACAGTTAAGGCAGACACCTCAACATATCACGTGTTCTCACCACCTCTCCAAAAGGGTTGTAATTGTTAGTCCTGCCCAAGACCTAGGAGCTCAAGCATTAATAAAGAAGCATGGAAATAACTGTATCATGGATTATAATCTTTTTGATAACTGTCTTTCAATATAACGGGTTCCCTTTGTAACCTTATGTATCTTACTTTATGAATATCAAAATTTTTTTCTGAAAAAGTGTCCATAGGCCCCACCAGACAGCCAAAGGGGTCCCTGCCAGGGACTGGCTGAGTGCTGTTTCTATACAGAAGACTCAAGCACACACAAAATAGGAGCAGATGTCTCTGCTCCTGCGGGTGGGAGGCAAGCACTTTTGCATTGATCTGTGCCCATCTGTCCTTACAGAGAACCTGTAACTGAGCAGGACCCTGTGGATCTTTCCGAAGACAGAACCTCCCCACCCCCGCCAACCGACCTGGTGTCCTCTGCCTGACTGTGCAGGTTGCTAGCCTCCTGAATAGAGCAAACTTTCCTTTCCTACCAACGCTCGTCTCTTGGCTTTTGAGTGGCAAGCAGCCGAAACTGAGTCCCATAGCAAACCCACTGTGTACCCACCGCCGGACAAAGTGCAGATCTCAATGATTGTTGAGTGAATGTGCCCTGCTTCCCTGAAACTCTGGGTGTGGGCAGGTGAATCGCATGCTTTCAGTGTAGAGGGTTTATCCTTCCACATTATGTGCCGCTGAAGTCTTTTGATCACCCTGTGGAGAAGCAACAACAGCGCACCGGCAGGGCTGAGAGGGGCTCCGACCGGTCCCCCCTTCCCGCCACTGTGGGAAGCAGAAGGCTGCAGAGTTTACATGACCCAGGATTGCAATTAGTCCTTCTTGATCATCTCAGATGGACAAGCGCCTTTTGATTTTTTTTTCCTGGAATTTTTCCTAGATTCCTTTTTTCTGGCACCACAGAAAGACTTACTAAGACAATTCCACCCCCCCCCCATTTCCTGCACAGGTACAGGGATGTGCCTGAAAAGGCACACGTGTGACTCCTCCAACATCTGTAGAGTTTAAAAATACTCTGTCCACGTCACTGTGTGACTGAGATCCCCTGTTGCCACAGCCTTATTCTTTCAGAACAGTGGTTCCCAACCGGGGGAATGGTACCTCCCAGGGGACGTTTGACAATGTCTGAAGACATTTTTGGATGTCACAACTGGCGTGTAGTGGATAGAGGTGAGGAATTTTGCTAAACATCTCCCAGTGCACAGGGCGGCCCTGCAACAGTGAGTTCTCAGGCCCTGAATGGCAGTAGAGCTGACCATTTCAGCATCATCACCGAGTTTTTCTTGCCATTTGCAGAGGCACATACCAACGTGTCAGAAAAATAAAGTAAAATCAGGGAAGTGACAAATCTGCTGTCTCGGAAAAAAAAAGGAATAGTTTTGCAGGTTACAGTTGAAAGCAGTAGCCCTCTTAAATAAAACACATTTCTTGGAGAGAGAATGGCTTTCAGGGCAAAAAGGAAAATGGAAGGGAGACGGTTTCTTTCTTTCTATAAATTTTTTTCTCTTGAAGTTCTTTATCCAGGTCCAGAGCTCCATATAGTTTCATCTTGACTGGATCTCTGTCTATCTATCATCTATCTATCTTTATCTACCTTTATTGTTATGATTTGATTATCTACCTATCCTCTACCATTCTATCACGTCAAGAGCAAGTTGCTCGAACTTTGGTGAAATGGAATGAGATCATTTCCCTTTGGGCCAAAACACATGAATTCCTATTTATGTTGCTGCCGCAGGATCTGGTTGTGAACAGCTGATTCTAATCTGCGGAGGCTGGAAGAACCAGCTAACATAGACCTTTGCTCGTGAACTCTTCAGGATTTGAGAGACCTTTCTCCTTCCTATTAAGGATGCGACAGCTCCGAGCCCGAGGCCCCGCCCTCTCCCACCCTCTCCCACCCTCTCCCTCGCTGTGCTGACCATCCCTGGTGGTGGCTCCCAGGGCAGAGGAGGGATCCTTTCAGCTCATGTTAAAATAAAACAAACAAAATTAACATCTGAGACAGATTCTGGGCATAGATCTTTGCCGTCTTTCCTCATTTTTCATCGTGTGGCCCCTCTTCTTTTTGCACGGGCCCACAGGCAGCCTTTGATGTTGACTGAATCTGACTTAATCAGGTAGATAAGAGATGGGGGCGGGGCCCACCTAGAAGCCAGCCGCAGTCATCTGCCTCGAGGCGCCTCGCAGCCCTGGATTCTAGGAGTGGGAAAGAACTCCAGCTGTTACTCCCTTCCGAGGGGCTGCCCTGACAGTCAGTTTTTCAGTTTGGAGGTTTCAACTTGCATGTTTGGGCTAAAGGAGAAATGAGGAGTTGGGAGGCACCTGAGCTCTGAGGGAGGGGAGATGGGAGAGTGAAGGGGTAACATTTCCACCGTACTCCTCACTCCCCACTCACGGATAATATGATGCCCCTTAGAGGGTGGGGCTAGGGCAAGAGGCTGAGAGAGGTGAATCCATGAGGTACAATGTGAGACTGTAGCACATCCAGGTGACAGAGCTGGACAGAGAGACTAGAGGGGCTAGCCTCTGTCCTTCCCCCACAGCTCCACTGTAGCTTCAGAGCCCTCGGAGTTCAGGGTCCCCCAGCAGAACTGGCCATGCTCTGGACTGGGGAAGGGGGACAGACATGAAGAAGGAGACCAGAGGAAGATCTGAGTGGAATTGTTCCCAGGTAGAGGAGAGGCACCCCCAGGGAGACCACAGGGCAGGGTTGGGGTGGGAGCTGCCACCCTGCAGTCAGGTGGCCGGTTTGGTGCATCTCAGTCTGATGACCAGTGCTAGGGACATGCAGGTGCGGGATGGCTCATCCTGTCCTGGGGCTGACCCATTGGACCGAGGAACTCACAAGACTAGTGACTGGGAGATGGGGTCTGGGAACAGAAGTCAACAAAGCCCAGAAAGCAAAATCCAAACCAGGTTCAATTAGCACCACTGTCTTAGTCCGTTCAGGCTGCTAAAACAAAATACCATAGACCGGGTGGCTTATACACAGCACACATTTATTTCTCACAGTTTTGCAAGCTGCGAAGTCCAAGATCAAGGTGTTGGTAGATTTGGGGTCAGGGGAGAACTTCCCAGTTCTTAGATGGCAGAGTTCTCACTATGTTCTCACGTGGTGGAAGGGTTGTGGAGCTTCTGCGGTCTTTTAGTATTTTTCAATTGAGTATCTATAATTTTTTAAAATTGAAGTTAATCAGTTTACAATGCTGCATCAATTTCTGGTGTACAGCATACTGTTTCAGTCATCCATATACATACAAACATTCATCTTCATTGTAAGTTACTATAAGATATTGAGTATAGTTTCCTGTACTATACAATACAAATTTGTTGTTTATCTATTTTATGTATAATAGTTAGTGTCTGCAAGTCTCAAACTCCCAATTTATCCCTTTCTACCCCTTTCCCTCCAGTAATGGTAAGTTTGTTTTCTATGTCTGTGAGTCTGTTTCTGTTTTGTAATTAAGTTCATTTGTGTGTGTGTGTGTGTGTGTGTTTTTAAGATTCCACATATAAGTGATATCATGTGGTATTTTTCCTTCTCTTTCTGGCTGACTTCACTTAGAATGATGATCCATGTTGCTGCAATTGGCATTACTTTATTTTTTTCACGGCTGAGTTGTATTCCATTGTATAAATATATGGGGTCTTTTATTCTAAAGGCACTAACCCCATCATAAGTATTTCACTCTCAAAGCCCTAATCACCTCTCAAAGGCCTCACTTTTTAATACCATCACACAGGGGGTTGGGGGTTCACAAT